ATAAAAATATTATGATTTTATTTTGTACAACTGTTTAAAGCTGTTTGCTAGTCATTCTGGTTAATAACAAACAGAATGTTCAGTCATTTGTTTTAAAAAAATAAACATAATTAAAGTAAAATGTGTTTTCAACTCTGACTCTGAACCAAATCAGTAGAATGATCCTTGTATGAACTAAATTGAAAACTTTATTATACAAATAATGCTAGTGATGCATTTATATGAGGTGAAGAATATTAATATGAATATTAAGAATAATAACCATTAAAACGTTATTATTACGTTATTATAATGTGATGTTCTTGCTTATTGCTTTATTTTGCTAAGTCACTGACAAAGTGAGAAAGTGAGACAAACTTGTTGCTAGGTATCAGGTCAAAGAGTAATCTGATGACTGAGGTTCACATTATTCTCTACACACCACAATATCCCATTAAATGCATTCTTTTCACAGGAAACAGTCTGATTTTGATTGGGCAACAACTACAACTAGGCTCTGCAGATAACACAACACAAAAGACTGTTTTATTGTTATATTACAGGAAACTGTTTTTGAGGTCTAATTATTAACAGTAGTCAACGGTTAATTAAACAGGTCAAGTGCTGTGTGTAAGCCGTATAAAAAACAGCTTAGTACTTAATTCACACATTCACTCAAAGATGTAAATGATAGAAATGATTAAACAGTTATTTTTATATAATGCTTCATAACATTTACATTCCCAGTATGTAGAGACATATGTCTGTATCTGTCTGTACATATTATGTTGTATTATTTAATGAGCAATTTGGCATTTTAATGTCCAAATGTTAACCTTTCCATGTTCTGCGCAAAGTGCTTTCACCTCATTTTAAATGATGGTGAACAGAGTGTAATGATGACTTTGTATCTGCTGTGAGAAACTTGACTAAACTTGAGTGAAATAAAAAACAAGATAATAATAAGTTTTGCCATTCATCATTTAATGAGAGCAGTAAGAGGTAATGTTTTAATGTGAAAGCACTAAAGCAACAGCAGTGTTTAATTCCCCTCTACACACTAAAGTTTCCTGCTACTGAATGTTCTTCATACTGTACTGTAGAGGTAACACATGTAACCTGGTTGTCTTTCCTGATTTATTAAGCCAGGTCCAAACACAGATTATTTTATCACTTTGTTTCATCACTTTTCCTTTATGCTTTTATGCTTAATAATAATTTGAGGACTGAAGAAACAAACTGATCAAGTTTTAAAAGGGATGTTTTTTGCTGTTCTTTAGTTATAAAATACATCAGCTGTGTGACAATACAAGGCCTTCTTTGTCATATTTTGCACTTCATTATGTGCCACAAGTTTTAAAAGGGAGACAGGCAGGCCAGTTTAGCACTCATACTCTACCCAGCTCTTACTCAGTCATGATGTTGGAACACGTGCAGAATGTATCTCGGCATTGTCATGTCGAAAAAAGTACAGACGTCCCCAGTTGTGGTATTTGACTTTACTTTTTACGCACAGAGCTTTTTCCAAATTCCCTGAATCTTTTGAAGATGTTATGTATTATGCACTGTAGAGCATGAAATACCTAAAATCCTACAATTGGTTGCTGAAGAACAATTGTAAGCTGTTTATTTGCAAAAAACACTGAAATTGAAAGGATAAAACATTAAATGTCTAATTTTTATACTGCTTTTGTTTAAGTATAGATCAAAGTGAGGTTACAAATCAACACTTTTTATTTTCATTTGCATTTCACATACTGTCTTAACTTTTTTTGGATTTTAGTTTGTGCATAGATGCTATATATTGTGTATAGATATCTTATGGGATATTACATTAATCCAGGGAATGGAAAGGTGTAGAAGGTGCTTTACAAGGGGGATGTTTTTTGTCATTTTGTTTGACTGGGTGGATGGCAGGCATTCCCTCCTACCCCTCTGCTCTTTTTATGATGGTTGTAATCTAAAAGCAGCGTGTAAAGTCAGTGATAACATTGTAGAGGATATGGCATAATAAACTCTGCTGTCTAGTCAGCAGATAAAGAAATACTGATTTACTGGTGAGCCTGTGCAAATATTAAGATTTAAGTATAAATGCCCAATTTAGACTAACATCAACAGATCTGCAAGATAAAGGCTTTAATTCACAGATAATAGTTCATTATTTCGTTACTCTTCACTTGTAAGTTAATGCCTATTGACTACTTTTAATCTCCCTAGTGTTTTAACCTGATAGACTAAAATACTAAAATTGTTTTTGTCAACTCAGCACTTTTTTAATGCAAATGTTCAATGCCGATAAGTCAAATCTGTGGAAGATTTACTTGAAATGTTATTATTGCTGTATTGGTCATCTTGTGAATCGTCCATCTTTAAACTAAATGCATTTTATCAATGCATGTGATTGTGCCATACATTACAGTCATTACAGCAGCTGAACCTGCATGACAGTGGAGCGTGACAGTGTGATGTGTGCTCCTTTATGTAATGAACAAATTAATGATAAATGAAAGTTAATGACCTATATTTCCATCATAAAACAATAAAAAATCTCTTTCCCGTCCACGTTTGTGCTTGTAGTCATCTTATATAAATGTTCTACATGATCACATCAAATCATTTTGAAAAAATGTGTTTAAAAAAATTAAGTATATTTCCAATATCATTATTGGAGAAAACACATGACAAATCAATATTTGATTAACTTGGAAAATATGGGGAAAGTTTTTTTTCTCAGAAAGTGAACAAAACACTTATTTCATCACAACTTCCCTTCACTCAAAACAAACTGTAAAATAAAAAATACTTTTAAAACATTCTTTCATTTGTGGAGAAAGAAAACATCCTGAAAAAGTAAACATTGTTTGGCCCAGTGTCACAATTCCAGCGACTGTAGTGAAGCACTAGAGGGAGTTAAATTTTCACTCGCCTGACTGTGAGTGAAATACTATAATACACAAACCAGCAATGACTAGTCAACATACAGCTCAACATACAGTACAGTTTCTCAAAACAGTTGTTGATTGTTAAATAACACTAGTACTAGTTCTCTCTCAATCACGCTCACTTTAGAGCTACTCTTCAAGTAATCCGTCTCATTAGTCAGCTAGCCGAACAGGATAAAGATGGAGAAGTTCGTGCAGTGTTAAAACTGAGTACTGTAATTCTGAGTTCTGTGTTAGTTCTATATAAGTATACAAAACTGGCTAGGAGTGTTGGACAGAGAGCTGTCAATCAAACTGCTGATTAGCCACGCCCACAGAATTCTCAGATATGCCTGATCAGCGATTTTAAGTTGTGTTTTATCATACTTATTTCTAATATTTTTCATTCAGGCTTTGCAGAATGTTTAGTATAACACTCAAGTTTAGTATCATGCAAACATTTTTACTATTTCATAAGAGTGGTGGTGCAACATCTTCAAAAGTGGTGTTAAGAAAAAAACTCAACTTGATGAATGACAAAATGCAACTAGGCCACTGGTTCTAACTAATACTGTCTTTCATGTCTCTATAACCTATTTATAAACAGTTTCAGTGTTTGTATTTCTTTGTGTTCAGCCTCAGATAGCAAACATTGCAAGCTAACATCTTTGAAAAACATCAGGCTGTTTTCACACCCAGTTCATTTTCTAAGGTCTGCACCACAGTTTGGGTTTTTTGTGATATTGTATCTTTTTAATTTGGTTCAGTTGTTTTCACCCTGCAAAGGCTAAAGTGTACCATGTGGGTGTTCGGTTATTGGTCAGAAATGGTGCAGGCATGTAAACGTTCTGTTACTCTTACATTTGCCAACATCAAAATAGAAATTAGAAGCACTTTATGTTTCACAAACAAAGCAAAAATAATAACTCTACTTGACATCTGCTTCTTTATGATTGGTTTATCAATTACAATATAACCAATCTTGTAACTGATACTTACTGATGATCTCTTTGCTATTATTTTATTGCTAGTTTGGAGTTATTAACAGCAGTTCATGCTGCAGGAATGATGTGAGTGTTTGTAAAAGGTAAATTGTTAAAACAGGCAGATTATCTCAAGATCATTTTCATGGGATTATTATCTTGGGATAATTGTCTCGAGATATATAGAGAAAACTTGAATATTCCCTAATCCGCCCTGTAGATGACACCAATATGCCTTTCAGGCAGCATTCCATTCACTAATATCTCTTCAAGCCCACTGTCCATTTTTCAGTGGTGCGGAAGTTGTGTATCCGTGACTGAAAGTATTCTAATGAAAATTGCCCACTATAGCACTTTATTTCAGTTCTCACCAACAGATATGATTACATTATATCACAGCACCACTAGACACGTTTTAAAACTCAACAGACTGTTTCAGAGGGGTTTCCTGAACCAATATCAGTGTGACTTCAATATCAGTTTTAATCAGAACACCCCAACATAGGAGTTAAAGCTGAATCTAGCGTCCAGAGTGGGTATAACACCCTTACATTTTCCTGAGAACAGTAGGCCTCATTCACCAACCGTTCTTAAGAAGAAATTTCTTCTAAAAAGAGTTTTCAGGAAGATTCTGTCAGGCACCAATGTTTTTTTTAATGTGGGATTTGCTCTTAGGTAAGAGCAGAATGTACACACACTCAAGCACAAAGGTCTGAACAGTTCTGCGCTTTAAGAACGTTGTGAATCTGACATAGACTTTTTCTTGGGACCTTTTTCAAGAACAAAACAAAGAAAAGATTTAGGAAGACATTTATTGATGAGGCCCTTTATCTTTACATAATTATCCCAAAACATTTGTCTTCAGACAGTTATACTACGAAAACATATAAAGATAATTATGTCAATGTAATCTCAGGTCATTTCTAAGACAAGTGTGTTTTTTGCCCATTACAGACAACCCATATCCTTTTTTTGTGTCGTCTCTATAAGTCAGCTCCCTGTGCAGTTTAGGGATAGCAGAGATTTTTTTTTGATGCAAGCATCCTGAATTTAGGAAAAAGTGGCGTGGCATCACCCCAGTACTTTAAAAAGCAAAACACATGAATGCTTTTAGGGGTCCAGTGAACAGTAAAGACATTTATTAAGAACAAAATACTATTCAAGTACAAAATATTAAAATATTGACAGTAATACAAACATAGCTGTAATTATTAATGCAGTCTAGAATTACATAACATTATTCTGTGTTATTTGAGAAAATACATCTGTTCATGTTCTAAAGTTTCATTATTGGTGTTAGTTGTTTAGCACTGTGGGATCCTGACACAGAAAAATCCCAGAGTGGTTGCACAGTTTGTGTTTGCCCAACCAGCTGTAAAAAGAGAAAAAAAAGATTTGCACTAAATGTCTGTTCCCTGTTTCATACTTTACTGTATGAATTCCTGCTATAGCAGTTATTAAATATAAAAAAACATCAATATGATCAAGAGATCCAGTTGATGAATATGAATTAACTGGTTCAAAACAAGCTAGTAACCCGTGATGTATAATACTGTTTATCATAACCTTTAAGGGTGTGGCAATGTTTATTTTCAACTGTACTAAAATAATAAAATTGCAAATATTCTTTATTGCAGTGAAAACACACACTTGGGATAACAAATTCTAAATGATATTGTTAATGTTTATAACTTGTCACCTATAGTACCATTACTAATACATCGTAAAGAAATAAAAAGTTAGAACTTTATTATGAAGTCATTAATAAAATGTATTTTAACTATTTTATTAACATCATAAGACCTCAAATGTTTCAATAATATATCTGAAGCAGGTAAATCAAAGTGCTGCTTTTACAGCTGATGTGGTGAAGGTTCTTACCGCGTGCCTGCAGGTAAGCGCAGGGGTTGCTGGACACACTGCTCAGTGACTGCCAGTTACTGTAATAGAATCCTGCCCTGTCAATCCACATCCATGTGTTCTGGAGAGAAAAGACTGTGTTACACTAAAGCCAGTATTACAGCTGCATGTGCAGTTAAACACTAACTTCATAAATCATCACCTGGAAGTTGAAGGCACCAATCCATGCAGATGTCTGGCCTCCGAGGTCAGCCAGATTCTGCAGGAACTGATACTCAGCTGGACTCTGGACAGATGCTAGACTACCCTGCTGACTGACACAGTGGTTCTGGAGAGAGAGAGAGAGAGAGAGAGAGAGAGAGAGAGAAGAGAGAGAGAGAGAGAGAGAGAGAGAGAGAGAGAAAGAGAGAGAGAGAGAGAGAGAGAGAGAGAGAGAGAGAGAGAGAGAGAGAGAGAGCACTCAGCTAATCAGGATCTCTCACTGAATGATATTTTGATATAGACTTTTATTTTTCCCTCCCGTCAACTCTGTGGTGAAACTGGCCCAGATGCAGATCTATCACTGCACTCATGGAGGCTGGAACTGAGACTACAACACACTTTACCTCTGCGTTGAGCCAGGACATTCGAGACTTGACCAGCAGAAAACAGCGGGAGCCGTGCCTGAACCAACCAGCAGGACACTGGACAAAAGTAGCTGTGAAAGACAGTATAATCACTGTTAAGCATTACCCATTGTTAGGAAACCACAGGTTATCAGAGAACTTTGAAGGACAGAGTCATTTTCCATTACCTATATCTGCAACCTCAGCTGTGTTCTCAACTACAGGCTCAAATTCAGCTAGGAGAAAAGTACAATTATAAGCATGTGTTGTTCACTTAAAATCAAAGTAATGTTTACAGCTCAGAGTTGAAAATATTTAAATAATAATTATAAATTCTGATTTTATTTATTGTTGTATTCTACCTGTTCTACTTATTAAGCACATAGATCTACTTTGTGTTTGTGCGTATATATAGACATTATTCCTTAATCAAATAAAAATACATGATAATGCTCTTACAAGAGTAATGCACATTAAAGACATTTTAATAAATATAGAGGCATCATATTCTAAAGTAAAAATACAGTGTCTCAAGCTTTACATTTAAAAATAGACGTTAACTCATTACTAAAATCTCAGACATAAAAAAGAGAGGACAGACTGCTTGAATCACTGTTGCTTGAAAAATCAATATAGTGAAGTCCAGAAACAAACCTGGAGCAGGGTCCGGTTGCTGGTCATTAATGGACTCAACAGCTTCATCTACATCAAGAGAGAGAATAAATCAGAAGCATTGAGCTTCTTCTGTTGTAGCACTCATCCTTAGTCACATACAAATGGGGCCACAACACTATATTTCATGATTTTCTTGCTGCTGATCACAAACTGGTGCTTTGAATCAGGGCTTTTGGATCAGAGAAGACACTGAACATGGTGTTATATTATAAAAACATTCTATGAGTTGGTTTAAATGTGAAGTGATACTCACCAACTGGAGCTCCGTAACTAAAGCTGACACAAAAAAGACACAGCAGAACCAAAGTGTTCATGGTGATGGTGATGCTGATGAAGAAGGCAGTCTTGTCTGAAAGAGAAAAGAAAGAAAGAAAAAGGTAAGTTGAGATTATTGCTCAGTTTGTTTTCTCAGTCATGCATAATTCACAACATAACAAACAGAGCAACAGTGACTGAAACCTTTCCTAAATCTGCTACAGAGACTCCAGACTCTTTTTATTTGTACTGAATTAGTAAGTAAATATGATGTCAAATATATTACTTTGCATAAGACTCTGCAACCTAGTATCAGAAAGAGAACTAAAAAAAAAACAGTTGGAGTAAATCAGGTTAAAGACTTTAACACCTTAAATGGTCATGGCTCGCTGACGGCCGCAAAGTCTTATTACACACTTCTATAACCTAATAATACATCAGACAGTTTGCATTGAAGTCCTTGTAGCTGCGGAATAATAAGCCATAGTATATAATAAGCCTGGGATTTAAAGGGGTTAAAGACACAAAAGAGTCAGTAAAAAGATGAAAGGTAATATCACATATAAAGTTGAAAAACGAAAAGCAGATAATAAAACTTAAAACTGAAAAGAAAAGAAATAATGAACACTGACATGTGAATCAACCTGTGAGTCTTGCAGATCTGTGCTGACAGTTTGAGATGTGCAGAGTTTTATACTCTCTAAACCCCCATAATATCCAGGAAACACTTTCACTTTTATTTTTTGGGTCATTGATCAGGTAAATCTGCTGACTAAGAGACATAGTTTATCATATCATGCCCCACAGTATTATCACTTCATTCACCCAACCTGCTAGATTGTGACCATCATAAAAAAGTCTTCCTTAGACCTAAATTGGCACTCATGATCACAGTTTACTGAAAATGTGATGATGTAAAACCTGACATAATCGTTGATGAGAAGTAATAAAGATGTTCACCTGTGAAACTGATGTTGTGAAAGACTTCATCCATTTTCTCATTACGGGAATGAACTACAGGGAAAAGAGGCACATAAGTCATAAGTAAAACACAATAGCAGAGTGACTGGAGTCAACACTGTAATTCTATCTGTATTCTCAAACCACATTAGAGCACAGACACTGAAGTCGAGTCCGATGTTATGATATGGATATATGGAACACATATAATTAATGCCAAATAAACCAAATAAGTTTGTAGTGGTATTTCCAGAAAAACACAGCCGTTTTAAACAAATTGTCCATGTACTGAATTCCTGATGCTTCTAGTTTCTTTATCTAGTGTTTCCCCATATCTTAAAATGATCTGTGTTTGGACCTGGCTTAACAATTCAGGAAAGTTCATGTGTTACATCTACAGTACAGTATGAAGAACATTCAGTAGCAGAAAACTTTATTGTGCACAGGGGAAAAAAAGACTGAGTTTGTGTTGCTTTATTGCATTTATATTGAAAAATTAACTTTAACTTTTCTTGTCAAATGATGAATAGCAAAACTTATTATGAATAGCAAATTAACAAATAAGATTGAAAAAAGATTTTTTAAAATCCCAGCTAGTCATATTTTTATGGTTTTTGAGTCACATCCAATCCTCAAAACAGCAAGTACGTCTTAGTAGAGTCTATTCTGGGCTTTTCAAGTTTGACCCAAGTTTAGTCAGGTTTCTCACAGCAGACTTCAAAGTTCAAAGTATTTATTTGGGTTGAATAAAACTATGTAATTTACTTGTTACCACATTATCATTTTATAGGTTGAATGAACAAGCCAATTTTTAGAATGTCGGTAAAATGGAAATAAAAACAGAAAGCAGTGGTTTGTAAATGTACCTTGACCTGTATTTAAATGAAACCAATACAAAAATAAGATATTTAATGTTTTGTCTAATCAACTTCATTGTTTTTTGTACATAAACACTCATTCTGAAATTGACATCTGCAACACATTCCAAAAAAGTTGTGACTGAGGCAATTTAAGACCAGGAATAGTATTTTTGAGTGATGATGTGCTCATGCTTGTGTATGAAAGGAAGATCCAGGAAAGGCCTATACCTTTATCAGCCAGGATGGTTCAGTTTTTCCACTGCATCAGCAAATAGTCCAACTGTTTACAAACGTTTCTCAATGAACATTTGCAAGGATTTTAGGTATTGCTTCCTCAACAGTGCAGAAAACTGTCAAAAGATTTATTCATACAGCTCCAAAACTGAAGACTTATAACTGAAAAATGGCAAAACAATCAATTTCTCCTGGATCAGTCGGTGTCTTTAGTGCCCAAATGATTATTAACTGTTGTTCCCAATTGTTTTGGAACATGTTGCTGGCGTCATATTTGGATTTAGTATATGCGTACAGCCCTGTGATGGACTGGTGGCCTGTCCAGGGTATTTCTTGCCTTCTACATATCATTGCTGGGATAGACTGTACCTGAACGGTTTTAATTTAATACAGGTTAAAAAGAGTTGACTAATCACTGCTTTCTGTTTTTAATAGACATTTCACATATTCTCCCAACTTCTTTGGAACTGGGTTTGTTATACAGTGCACATGGATTTACATAGTAAGTAAATTCATCATATGTCTCCACATATTGGGACTTTATATGTTATAAATCTTTATGGAAAAATCATTGATATCTTAGAATGAATATGTACATTAACTACTGAAGAATCTTTAAATGATAATCTAACTGTTTAAATGGAGTAAAAAGATTATCACTAGTGACAGAGGCATTTATGTACAGTTTACTGGAATGCACATAAATGTTGGCTGATAGTTATTAGATAACATTTGACCTGTTTTATAAACCTTTGAACACTGTTAATAATTATACCTCTATAAGCACATAATATACCATGAAACATATTGTATGTCTGTTTGTAATCGTTACATAATCAAAATTAGACAGTTTCCTGGTGCAAAGAGTGCAACAGATGGGAAATTGTGGTGTACAAAGAACAGTGTGAACCTCACTCATCAGATTACTCTCAACCTGTGAAAGACATTTCACCTGACATCTAGTGGCAAGTAGTTTGTCTGTCTTTCTCACTGACACTGAAATGAGTTTATTCTAACTAAACCCATTTAAGCCCAGTGTTTTCCTGTGCACTTTGATGTGCTACAAGTGACTCTTTTAAACATAATCAACATTTATTGATTGTGTATTAAACTCTGAATGTTTGTGCATTTTAAAGAAAATTGAATTTGAATGTCTGGGAACTTTAGTTGTTTGTAAGTAAATAGTTTGTAAAAGCACAAGCACCATTACAACAACAATCAAGATATAGTGGCAAGCGAAAGTTTGGGCACCCCAATTAAATTTGCCACTGTGAATAGTTAAGCGAGTAGAAGATGAACTGATTTTCAAAAGGCACAAAGTTAAAGATGAAACATTCTTTTTAACATTTTAAGCAAGATTAGTGTATTATTTTTGTTTTATACATTTTTAGAGTAAAAAGAAGCACCATGCACATGTTTTTTGTAGTTTTTAAGCAAGATTACTTTTTTAATTTCCATCTTTCCATCCATCCATCCATCCATCCATCCATAGTCTAAGCTGCTTTTCCTTCCGAGTCGTGGAGGATGCTGGAGCCTATCTCAGTGTTCACTGGGCAGAAGGCAGGAAACACCCTGGACAGGCTGGCAATCTATGACAGGGCAGACACACTGACAGACATACATATTCACACACACATTCACACCTAGGGGCAATTTAGATTCAGTATCAGCACTTTCCGTTTCCAGTCTGAAGTGCATAGTCAAAGTATCATTACTGCAGCAGGTTATGATACATTGCACAGTGTGTATTAACAAGAGAGGTGATATAGTGAAATGGTTCAGCACAGTTCAGACAGCAGGAGATCAGCACCCTCTCTGCAGTGAGGAGGCTCACTGTAGAGCTTTATAGCAGTGGGTTTAGGATCTCCAATTGGCCTGACTGTCCTTGGACTGTGGGAGGAAACCCACACAGACACAGGGAGAACATGCAAACTCCACACAGAAAGGACCCTGGTTGCCCAGCTTGGGAATCGAGCCCAGGGCCTTCTTGCTGTGAGGTATAAATGTACATATGTCCTAAAGTCTGAAAATTGGTGTGTAACTTTAGGAACAGTGACTACCGAAATACATATTTCACCTCTGAGTAAACCTTTTGTGTTTTAATAAAAATATTATGATTTTATTCGTGTACAACAGTTTTAAGCTGTGTTTGCTAGTCATTCCGGTTATTGACAAAACAGTATGTACAATCATTTGTTTTAAAAAAATAAATATAAGGTTTAAACTATATCAGTAGAATGATCCTTGTATGTACTAAACTGAAAACTTTATTATACAAATAATGCTACTAATGCATTTTAATGAGGTGAAGAATATTAATATGAATATTAAGAATAATAACCATTAAAGCATTTGAAATCTGTTAAAGCATGTGATGTTGTTTATTACTTTATTTTGCTAAGTCACTGACAAAACACATTAGAAACAAAACACTTAATTTTGGAGGTCAGTTAAAATGACTTTTTTTACATTGAATGAATTTTTATTAAATTTTAAAGATTTATCATCTCTTGTATCACATTGTATCATATGGCAAAGTCTTTATTAGGCGTCCTTAAACATTTGACTCGTTCTAAATAAGCCTACAGTGTATTTAGAATCTTCTGATTTTATAAAATGAGCATGTCACTAAATAACCCTGTTTTTATCTTGACAGCTGTGATTATAGTGCTTGTCCATTGTTCATACAAGCTACTGGCTTACCAGCAATTAAAGTTGCCAAATATTCAAATCCAATTCTCTTTAAAAAGCACAAACATTTAGAGAAAACAAATGTTGACCAAATTAAATGATTAAATGAGTATCTTTTAGCACATCGCAGTGCTCAGGAAATAAGTTGGCCACAAATGAATTTAGTTATAATAAAGTAATTTCAGTGTCGGTGAGAAAGAGACACAAACTACTTGTTGCTAGATGTCAGGTCAAAGAGTAATGTGATGAGTGAGGTTCACATTATTCTCTATACAGTACAATATCCCATCAGTTGCACTCTTTGCACCAGGAAGCAGTCTGATTTTGATGAGTCAAACAAACAAAAAATTGATAATAGTATGTTTTGCCATTCATCATTTAACGAGAGCAATAAAAGGTAATGCTTCAATGTAAAAGCACTAAAGCAACAGAGGGGTTCATTACCCCTCTACACACTAAAGTTGTCTGCTACTGAATGTTCTTCATACTGTACTATAGAGGTAACACATATAACCTATTTGGCTTTCCAGGTCCAAACACAGATTATTTTAACACTTGGGGCAAAGACTAGATTAGACAATGAAACTTGATGTGACAGAACAGGACTAATGTTCTTTGAGAACAGACATAAATACACGTTTGACTCCAATCACTCAGCTTTTGTCTCTACTTCTGTCTTATGTGTCTCTTGTCTCTGTAATTCATTTAATTTCTGTAGGAAATCTTTAATACTTTTCATCAACGACTCTGTCAGTCTGTACATCCATTTCAGAACATTGATTACAAACCCAATTCCAACTTGTGTCAGTATGTAAAATTCCAATTAAAAACAGTAAGCATTCTGTCTGGCCTGTATTACACTGCATCATATTGATAACAGTATAAAACCATGATATTTGATATTTTACTTTATAAACTTTATTAATTGTTTTGTAAATATATGCTAATTCCTAATGACGTCTGCAACATGTCCAGAAAGAGCTGAAACAGGAGTGCGTTTATCACTGTGTTACAT